AGTCCTACTTTGGGTTTTCGTATCGTTCTTCGAACTAAGAAGAGTATTAATTACCGGAGGGAAAATGGGAGTACAATAAGACGGTGAGGCACGCGGTAGCATAGTTGGTTGAGGCACTATGCTACAAGCCGGAAGATCGCGGTTTCGAGTCCCGATGATGAGAATTTTTTCAATTTACCTAATCCTTCCAGCCGCACTGTGGCTCCGGGGTCGACTCAGCCTCTAACAGAAATGAGTACCAGGAATCTTCCTGCGGGGTAAAAGGTGGCCGGCGCTTAAGGCTGACAACCTCACCGCCACCTGTGAACCCATTGTCTAGAAAATGTGAGAGCCTCGACGTCTCACAACCCTATGGGCCTCCACGGCCTGTTAAAGGGATAGCTTTACTTTTTACTTTTTTGCTTGTTTGTATATAATAATTACCTATACATTTTTTCAATAAATAATTATACTAAAATTTAGTTACTTTAAATCCGAGCGATCCAATACTGCAAACACACCAGTGCTTTAATTAGTTCAGATTATCGAGGCTGTAATCTAACGACTTCTTTGAGCTAATTTGAATGAATACTTGAGAATGGACGTTAACATGTCATTATAATCCCTTCTGCCGAATGCACGTGTTAACTGTACCCTCTACACACTTCTTGTCTCTACTGAAGGGAGTTCCTGCTTGTGTGACGTGCAGAACACGGCAGACACCTGTTGTTTGTCGGTTACAGACGGTGTTTAGTCGGGACCCGCTAACGCAGTTTGTGGTAATCTCTTTTGTTTGTTCATTAGGCAGACGCCGTATTGTTTTCTGCGAGATCCAGTCCTTAGAACATATCTACACAACACCAGGTGTGTCAGTAATGCGAATATCACGAAGTGACGTCGGAGTCACGACAAAGCACAGCTGTTCGATAATATGTCTGCAGTAACGATTAATCGATTACTTCTCTAATCTCGAATTAACGGATTCATATCTACAAAACCGTTATGAGTTCGTCATTTTATTCTTGTTTTTTTAAAAGCAGTATAATTACATAATTAATTCAGCACCGTGCAATGAAGACGTATGGGTGGAATGGAGTTATAACACTACTATTCCTGACCCCGTCACTAGATGGAGGTGAGTGGTCAGTTTCAGGAGTTGGGATAGCTCAGACGGTATGGCGATGGCCTATGGGCTGGAGGACCGGCGTTCGATTTCCGGCAGGGATAAGATTCTTCTCTTTACTGCGTCCAGACCGGCTCTAGACCTCACCGAGCCTCTTGTCCAATGGGTACCGAGAGCCTTTCCCTCGGAGGTAAAGCGGCCGGGGCGTGAAGCTGACTGTCGAGGTTAATGGTGAAGCTCCCTTTAAGCCTAATTTATTAAGCGCAGTGGCAACTTTTTTTTTCCTTGGCACTACAGCGCCAGTGGGCCTAGGCCTACCTCCATGAACTTCTCCGTTCACTTCGGTTTTTCTAGATCTTACACATTCGGTAGGACTCCTTGGGCGGGTGATCAGCTCGTCGCAAGGCCTCTACCTGTACACACACACAGAAAACCGCACACATACAAACTAAACACCCATGCCCTGAGTGGGATTCGACCTCACGATCCCGGTTTCCGAGCGAGCGAAGATAGTGCATGCCTTAGACCGCTCGGCTACCGTGACCGGCAGCGGCAACTTTACCTTAATTAAATAACCAAATCCATGGAACGGAGCCCTCCTGACACCGCTTAACTAGTAGACAAATTCCCAGTAAGTTCCATTGCTGTAATAATAAGAACTTACCACCAGTTTCTACGCTGAAGATGAATCCAGTTCGCACCGTCACAGTTTGTTAACATTAGCCTCCGATCCATTCCTAAGTCTCCAAATTGTCTTCTTCCTTCAGTGTTTCCTACCAAAATTTTGTTTGGAAGTTTCGTCTCTCCCGTAAGTGCTACATGCCCCACCCATTTCACCTTCCTATAGCTTGTCATTTTCAGAGTACCTGGCGAAGAGCACAAATTATGAATGTCCTCATTATATGGTTCCCCCCAGCCTACTTTGACATCCAACCACTTGGATGTAAAAGGTAAAGGCGGGAAGGTATCACGAATAGGCCACGGCCTTTTTGGTTCTCCCGTCATACATTATGGAGTATCGCGCCGTAGCTCAATCGGTTAGCCGTTGGCTTCTCACCGCGACGGCCCGGATTCAAACCCGGGCCTAGTCTAGTGGGATTTGTGGTGGTCAAAGTGGCGCTGGGGCGGGATTTCTCCGAGTACTTCGGTCTCCCCTGCCAATCTTCATTCCACCAAATTCTCCATCATCATAATTACCCGGGGCGCGTACAATAGGCGAATCAGTGGCTGCCGTGCCGAGTGGACCCAGTTGGACTCAACCCCCCCACTAAACAAATTAATTAATGAATTAATAGGTACTGAAGAAGTGTCGTTAAATAACTCACGAAGAGAAAAAGAACGGAGGAAATGAGAAATGCATACAATATTTTAGTTAGGAGACTTGACCTACTTCAGAGACTTCAAAGAAAGCCTTTGAGAAATGAGTATACTCAGTTGCAGTACGTTACAGGCTCAGTAATAACAGCGTAGTTAAACAACATAGTAATTAGAGTACAGTATTCTAGTTGCTTGGAGCCGGGACAGTGACTGGCTGCAGACTGGACTACCGAGGGGTCGGCGTTCGAGTCCCGGTAAGGGAAAGATTTTTCTTCTCTCTACGTCATCCTTACCGGTTCTGGGGCGCATCCAATCTCCTATCCAGTGGGTACCAGGAGCTCTTTCCTGGAAGCAAAGCGGCCGGGGAGTGAAGCTCACTGTTCAATTAGTGGCGAGGTCAAGAAAATGTGGATCTATACATCCAATCCCCCATACACCTTCATGGCATTGTATGTAATTAGTTTAGCACAGGGATAAATTCAGCTTTTTATTAGGCTTTATTTTAGTTGTTTTGCCGCTGTTTTATTGGACACCATGTCTTTTGTTGGTGTACCCAGATTTTTTTTTTTTTTTGTCTTTTGCTATTTGCGTAAACTTCATGAAGATAAAATGAATTTTCGGTTCTTTCCACAATATGTCGTCCAACAATAAACAACTCGTCATCCAAGTTTAGGGAGGTACAATTTCACAGACCAGTGTTTACGGTACTGCATTTAGGGACATCGACACTTATATGCATGAAATGGCGCCGATGAAGTGTTTCATTGCATTCGTAAATGCTAATGAACCTGAAACGCAGACGGCAACATGCATGTGAGTGACGTCATGTTCACAGAACAAATGAGCGAGTTCGTGCATCCCGGGACCGAAAATGGCTGGTGTTTGGGCAGGACTCCTGCTTCGTATTGAGAGCTTGGGCACCCCCATGAACCCCCTCCTTCCCCCTTCCCCAAAGGGAGAGGTGGTACCCAGAAAATGTACTTGAAAATATCAGTTTAATTTGTTGAAGAATGTTTTCACGGATTGACCTTAGTTGTGGGTCTCTGCTTCCAAACGCTGTTAGTGACAAACTTACAAATAATTCTAATTTTTTGTATATAAAAACTATTCGTGTAACAGACCGTGGAGGCCCATAGGGTTTGTGAGACATCGAGGCTCACACATTTACTGGACAGTCGGCTCACAGATGACGCACTGGCCGCCCTTTACCCCCGGGAAGATTCTTAGTACTTATTTCTGTTAGAGGATGAGTCGACCCCAAGGCCATAGTGCGGCTTAAAGGATTAGGTAAATTGAAAAAATCCACCTCTTCAGGACTCGAACCCATGACCTTCTGGCTTATAGCATAGTGCCTCAACCAACTACCCTGCCGCGTGCCCCAATGTATATTTCCTTCTTTATTCTATTTTGATTTATTTCCAAAAATCCAAGGAAATTGGGGAAGATGGGTAGGATTAGCATACCACGCCATAAATATTGGGGAGTGAAAGTATAGTTCTACCTGGGCACTAGATGAAGGTGAATGGTCAGCTTCACGCCCCAACCGCTTTATCCCCGGGGAAAGAAACCCTAGCACCCAGTGGATAGGAGACTGGGTGGGTGACAGAACCGGTCCGGACGCTGTGGGGTAGAGGAAAATCACTTCCCTCTGCACGTAGTCGAACCTAGGCCGTCTATCTCATAGCCTCTTGCTACCACCTGATTTCACTTGGTTCAACTTCCAATCTGAGGGCAGTTATTCTGATATGCCTTTCGCGATTTTCCTCAGTCTTTTCAAAGAAATGCCAGGACACTACCCCCAAATTGGGCCACAACTTCTTTCCACTTTTTTTATTAATTAAAAATCTTGTCATTCGACGCTATAAAGTCTTAAATTTTCACGGCATCGTTAGAGAAACCAGAAATATATAAAATAAATGGAAACTTGTGCATTGGGACAATAATGGGCAATGATTTTATAAAACACTATTTCGGCAGTTTGTAGAGATGAAAATGTCCGTTTGTCTGTAAGGTATGAAGTTCTCACTGAGATGATTATGAAAAGTATTTACATGGATCAGGTGTTTCGCAGTCTCTAGAAGTTTACCGCTGTTCCTCCGAAACGTCAGTAAATTTCTTCCGGACAATGCGGCGTTACATACTAGAGAACAGTGTTCTTCTTGTTCATATGTCTGTCGCGGTCCGTACAATTCTAAGCTGTTCGTAGAATCTCGCTGAAATTCTGTATAGGACTGCAATTTAATTACTGAGTATTTAAGCCTGTCGCTTTCCATACAAAGCTGTGTATTAAGTCACTTGCTAGTCACCGGGACTCGAAGTCCAACCCCTCGGTCGTCAAGCCAGTAGCCAGTCGCTACCCCGGCTCACGAGTTGAAATAGGTCACAAAACATGCCACCTCGTGCAACCTACTCGTAATTGTCCGCAGAAACTTTTCGATTTAGTGGTAGATGTCACTGATGTGCAGACGTCGAGCAGAGCCATCTATTGATTCATTAGGGTAATTGAGAGGGAATTTTTAAGAGTTCAGGGTCAGCCGCCGAAATCGGTGTTGTGAAGGGGGAAAGGTGGAGGGGAAATAGCATGTGTACGATCCCACTCGTAAATGTATGCAATTTCTGTAATCGTCGTGGACTAGATTGTGAATCAGTGCGCGTTTGCTGTTGTCAGTCCTGCCAACGCTCCTAAGTCTCACGCCACACAGTCGCTCCATTGGGCTACTTTACACTGCCGGCAGCCAGATGTGATGTGGGAACTGCCCACATTCAAGCAAATGTTACAGTGACAACGCAAGTATCATTGCCTAGCAACGGCGAGTAAACAGCTGTCGCTAGGTAAAGCCTACAACAATACGGGCAGTGACGTGTTTACAATGCAATCCGACGCAATGTTATGTAAGAGGGAGATATAGCGATATTATAAAGAGAAGAGAGAGGTGTGGGTGTTGCAAGCAGTAATATTGTTGGTACTATACTACTAATCCTCAGTTCTTCAAAACCAAGGTGCGTCTGTGTATACTGTGCAACTATTATAGAACAGTTCAACAAGTGGTTGTCTCTTCATACATCGGTATCCCATACAGTAACATGTACTTATTATCCACACATAATGGATAGATTGTACAATTATTGGAGTTAAATAATAAAAAAATACAGTAACAGGAAGTTTAGCGGCGCTGATGTAGGAAGTAGATGTCCCTACCAGTCAGTCAAATACGGTCAAGTAATTGTATGGTTTATGTTGGCATACTTGTAGCATGGCGTGCAGTCATTTGTTAACGAAGTGAATTAATGCAATATGGCCACGTGGTGTTATGTTTATATTCTCTAGATTAAAATAAAAGTTTTTTGGATCATATTTAAGAAGTAATTGCCGTGGCTGCCTAGGCAGTTGTTGTATATATTGGTGTATCAAGAATTAATTTTTCGTCAACATTAATTTCATTCTGTTCTTCAACAGCTGTGTACATCTAACAAGCAACATGACCACAACGAATATCAGATCACCGTTAATTCTCGATCAGTTAATAAATTTATACGACCCCAAAATAATGGGAATAGTAATTGCCATCCTGGTTGTTCTAATAACAATAGGTAAGTTAATTTACATTTTTATCAAGAAAGTATATAAGAATGTGTTGGCATATGGAAGGGTTGAATATAAAAAAATATGCAATAGTACACTTAACCCCAGAACTGAACGTAAAAGTTTTATTAGTTGTCCAGTCTTAGCCATATAACAACCTTCGTAAACTAACTAAACTTAACGTTGAATGCAATGTTAGCATACTAAATTTATAGTAGATTTAGCTTGGAGAGGTTATATTGTGTAATTGGTAAGTGTAAGATCAGCAATGACGCTCTCAGATTGATTGATTGATGCTCTTGTTATACTCATTGATAGATTATTATATAAAAATATTACTGTATCGCATATAAGTCTTATTTATGTTGTTATTAGTTGTGATGAATACAGAATAGAGAAATGAAGAGAGAAAGAAAAAGTCACTCAGCAGTTTCTATTACAACACAGGTGTTCAGAGAAGAAATATGAACGAGACTGTTCAAAGTAGGAGGTCTCAGACTGGGAAGGAATGGAATTCTCTCCCTATGGCAAGCACATCTACCTGTTTTTAACAATTGATGCTTAAAAAACCTTATTTTTCTCCGACTTCCCAGTGCATTGTATTGTTCATCCAGTTTGCTATGTGAAACTCAGAATACAAGTGACATGAAATGTTTTTCAGGACTATTTATAGTATGGCGTTATAAGAAGACTGCCAGAAAGGGAGTCTTACTGATGGGGTTGAGTGATGCGGGGAAGACATTGATCTACTCACGGTTATTACACAACAAATTTGTTCACACCCACACATCAGTCAAAGAAAATAGTGGTGAATATGACTGTGGCAAGGTAAGAAAAATAATTATTTTTAATGACTACATTTTAGATTTCTTTTGTCTTCTTGTCTGCTGTATAAGAGCATAAAAATTAGAATATACAAAACTATAATTTTGCCTGTGGTTCTGTATGGGTGTGGAACTTGGTCTCTGACATTTAGGGAAGAACATAGACTGAGAGTGTTTGAGAACAGGGTGCTGAGGAGAATATTTGGACCGAAGAGAGATGAAGTGACAGGAGATTGGAGAAAACTGCACAATGAGGAGCTTCATAACTTGTACTCTTCTCCAGGTATAATTAGAACAATAAAGTTAAGAATAATGAGATGGGCAGGGCATGTAGCACGAATGGGGGAGAGGAGGAATGTGTATAGGATATTGGGGCAGAAAGCCAAAGGAGAGAGAGCACTAGGAAGACCAAGATGTGGATGCACAATATTAAAATGGATCTTTAAGAGATAGGATGGGGTGGTATGGATTGGATTGATCCAGCTCAGGATAGGGACCAATGGAGGGTTCTTGTGAACACAGTAATGAACCTTCAGGTTCCATAAAATGCCAGGAAGTTCTTGAGTAGCTGCAGATTTGGAGGCTTCTCAATAAGGGCTCGGCTTCATGAGTGACATTTTAGATTTAACATTAGTTTCATGTAAAGTCTTTAAAGACAACTATTATATAGATGCAAGTATACAGTGTAGGTCATGAGCATACATTTGTTAATAAGGTACTCATGTATATGTGGGTGCCCCAAGTAACTGTAAAAATGAAGAACACAGTCTTCTGTGTTGCAGCTCCATGCCCTGACATTTTGGGGGATCATATGATTCCCATCTTGAGGGCCATAGAGTAGGCTACGTATGAAATCAGCTTGCTGCCCAGCAGTATGTATGGCTGCCTGTGAAGTATACAGTGTACAGTCAGTACCGTGAGAAACCAAAGCAAGAGGTGAAGCCTCTAATTTGATTTCATCAGCAAGTCCAGGAGGTTGAGCATTTGGTTTTATATTTAAAGTTTTTAAGAAATTTTCTTTTTCTTTCTTTTAAGAAATAAATTTTGAACAATCATGTAAAGCTAGGTTTTAAGTTTTTAAAATAAAAAATGTAATCCATATGTAATCCATAAGTACTCTTTGTAAAATAGTGTTATGTGTTTTTGTAACATTGTACATGGTTTTTGGATTTGGTGAGCATCACGAACTCTGGTCATTTGAGATGTGTATGTAACAATATTAGACAGATAATTCAGTGATACCAACATAGGACCAATAGAATGTTAAATAAAAGAAAGCACTGATGTTAAATATAACAAAGCAGCAATGATGCTTTATGTTAATGAGTGCTTTTTTGCAAAGAGAGACAGTGTTTGATGGCTGTGACAGAATTTATGTAATAATATGCTGTAATATAGAATGTTGGAAAATTGGTATGAATTATGGAACTTGTCAAATGGCACTGTATGTAATAGTTCCACTGGAAATGGTGAAGTGAAGTTAGATTTCATTTGATTTGCTTTACTTTGTTTCACACAATTATTAGTGTTCGATAAGAGGTTGGTTAGATAGGTTTGTTTTAGATGGTTTTGGTTTGAATGATAATGTGTATGTACAAGAAGCATATGTCGCCACATGGCGATGCGTGGACACATTGAAACTAGTGAAATCTTTGAATACGTTTAGATTGTGGTCTTGTGCATTGTGACATTTAGTTGTGTGAGAGTTACAGTCATTTTGGAGGAACCTGCTGCCTTTGTTCTAATGGAACAAGTGAAGGTGCTGGTGACATGTTTCTTCAGAATGTTGGTAGCCACCTGCAGGGCTACACAGAACATGTAAATCAAATGAGATGTAAATAAGGGAAGTGAATATCATTAGTGTAAGATTCGAGGTTTTCACGCCAGTGAATATGAAGAATGCTGTCTTCTAGGATGCAGCACCAAGTAGATATTGTGTAAACCTACATTTCAGAGGAATGTATCACCATCTTAAGATGGAGGTGATATGCTCTTCTGAAGCGTCAGTTTACACAATATCTACATGGCGCCGTATACCCAAAGACAGCATTCTTCATATAATTTTAGTGATTTTTTTTGTCTAGAACTGTTGCATTTGTAGAGAAAAATTCTGTCACTTGTTTCATTGGACCCCTGTATTGTTGAATACTTATTATAGTCTTTTGTAATCTGTAAGAGAGAGATGACCGTTTTATACTTCATGAGATAATAATAATAATTCACAGGTTTCATTAAGGATCATTGATATTCCGGGACATGAACGACTTCGGGCAAAGTTCTTTGATGAATACAAAGGAACAGCGAGGGGTATTGTTTACATTATAGACTCAATCACCTTCCAGAAGGACATTCGAGATGTGGCTGAGTAAGTAATTGTGTGTTTTCACACCTATATTCTTAAGAAAAGATTCACACCAAAGCAATAAGCAACAGGAGATAAATAATTGGTATTATCACATTGTGTGTGTATTCACAGCAAGGAAATAAAAATATGTGATTAAGTGTTTGAGAACAGGGTGCTGAGGAGAATATTTGGACCAAATAGAGATGAAGTCACAGGAACTTGGAGAAAACTGCATAATGAGGAGCTTCATAACTTGTACTCTTCTCCAAGTATAATTAGAATGATCAAGTCAAGGAGGATGAGGTGGGCAGGTCATGTAGCACGAATGGGGGAGATGAGGAATGGGTATAGGATATTGGTGGGAAAGCCAGAAGGAAAGAGACCACAGGGAAGACCAAGGTGTAGGTGGGGGGACAAGATTAGAATGGATCTTAGAGAGATAGGATGGGATGGTATAGATTGGATAGATCTGGCTCAGGATAGGGACCAGTGGAGGGCTCTTGTGAACACGGTGATGAACCTTCGGGTTCCATAAAATGCTGGGAAATTCTTGAGTAGCTGCAGAATTGGTGGCTCCTCCAGAAGGGCTCAGCTCCATGAGTAAGTAAGTAAGTAAGTAAGTAAGTAAGTAAGTGTACTATCCTCTGTGGTGTAACACTGTGTAGTGTGGTAGAAGCTCAGTGACATTTTGGAAGAACATATGGCCTACCTATTCAGGCTCAAAGAATAAGCCAAGCAAGAAGCAGATGGTAAGCAAAGCCACTCTGCTTGCCTCCTCCTTGGCTTACTCTTTGGCCCTGAAGATGGGGTATTATTTTCCTCCAAAACATTGATGAACTTTACCAGTTTGATAGCGTAGTTGGTATAGTGACTGGCTGCAGGCTGAATGACCAAGGGGTTAGAGTTTGAGTCCTGGTAGGGTCAAAAATTTTCTACATGTCCGCCAGACCGGCTCTAGGGTCCACCCAGCCTCCTATACAATGGCTACTGGTGGCTATTTCCCTGGGAGTAAAGCAGCTGGGGCATGAAGCTGACCACTCACCTCCAGCTAGTGCCGAGGTCAAGAAAACGTGGATCTATCTATCTACACATCCACTCCTCCATATGCCTTCATGGCATGCTTAATTAGTTAAGCATAAGGACAACTTTACCTTTTACGGAGTATTACATAGAGTCAGTATAGCTCAGTCAATATAGCGATGGGATGGACAGCTGGGATTCAGTTCCTGGGACAAGAAAGAATTTTCTCTTGTGCATAGCACCCAGACCGGCTCTGGGGCCCACCCAGCTTCCTATCCCATGGGTACTGGGGGCTCTTTCCCCAGGGGTAAAGCAGCCACAGTGACAAGTTGACCACTCATCTCCATGTAGTGCTGAGATCAAGAATAGTGGAGCTATACCTCCACTCTTCCATATATCTTCATGGCACTAATGCTTAATTGATTAAGTGCAGGGACAACTTTACCTGTACATAATATTATAGTCCTCTTCATAGCCACCACCGTGAGAGCCTCACAGATTCAACGGAACAATTGATTAGTTTGTGAAAATGTGGCTGAAAGCAAGAAAACATGTTGTATCATTGTCAAATTAGTACCTAGTTCGTTACCTTGCACCATTAAAACAATACCAATGAAGGTTCCCTTTTATGTTTGTTTACACTACAATCACCTGATGTGGAAGGTTGGATTCAAAGACCAAGGACTGGTTGGAGAGATCAAGTGGTGGAAGATAACAAGTTTCATTGCATAGTTCATACATTACCCCCTTCCCCTCCTCCAATGTGCAATTCAAACTTTTGGAACAAGATTTATGCAAACCTGAAAGTAAACCACTGTGGAAACTAGCTTTGTCTGCTTGACTTGCCTGTAAAAGTGAAATACTTTCTCCAGAATAACTAGGTAAACCCTATGCAGGGATATTTTGTTACAAAAGGTAGGCTATTTTACTGCTTAACACTTTTCATTTTTTCACGTATATAAACTCAATCATTATTTCACTTCCATCATGCTTTTTTGCCGTGCCATGTGTAGCAATGACAGGATACAGTTCTTACTCAAATCCATTAAGTACATGATCTTTCCATATGCTTGGCTTTGGATGTTTTTGCCTGCTACCATCTGTTTCATTTCTTGGTGACAGTGTTTTATTGTGCCATATTTCATATGTCTGAGAGGAATATGTAAAAATGCCAAAAGGTGAGAGTTCATGAACTATGTGACAAACTACAGCATAAAAGCAAAAGTGCGGAATGAATGGACTCTTCTGAGAGGATACAGAAGAAGGAAGAAAGTGTTGTCATGAGCAGCACTCTATCTTGAAACATGTTTGCCAGTACTTTCGTGCTTGGTCTTAACCTCCAGGTCAAAACATATAATGGTTGTGGCTGGCTTATGGACAAGACAGATATTCCAGATAAGTGTGACAGGCTGGGCAGATGACCACCATATTAAAAGGATATTACTACAGTGTAGACTTGCATATTCTTTCCTGCATGTGTTGGTTTTGGATCAATAGTTATCATGTTTAAAGGCAATGTTAATAACTTCCTGAAAATGAAGTGGCCTAGAACTAAATAGACGTTGTTTAGCCTGGTCTTCTCCTGTTTTCAGTCTTGGTAACTTCTAGCAAGTTTGCTAGTGTACAGTATGCATACCGATTGATTTAAACACTGGTCGTGAGAACACAATCCACCCTGGTGAAAATATCTGTGGATGATGATGATTGAAGAAATGTTTAAATCTGTAAAGAAATGTGATAATACCTGCTATTTTTTGTTTCCAGATTCCTGTATACGCTGTTGTCTGACCCGGTAGTGGCCAGCAACAGGCTCTCGTTTCTTATTTTGTGCAACAAACAGGACCAGACCATGGCAAAAGGTTGTACAGTCATCAAGTCGCTACTTGAGAAGGAAATGTAAGATGAAAACCCATTTGATTAATTTCCATTCTATTTTCTGAACATTTGTTTGTCTTTTATTTTTAGTCTGCTTATTTATTTTATAAGGAAAGACATGTTAATCGTGTTATTATGTCTCTGTGTCTGTCTCTCTCTTAATGTCTTTTGGACAAGTAACAGATCAAGATGTGATGTTATGTACTTTGGTAAATAAGTGTCCAGTTTCAGATGAACCTGTTGCCCCCATTTTCTTGGTCACTTTCTACTCTTCTACTTAACTGTCTGAAGTAGATAGTAGGTTCTCTGAAAACATTGGTCCCTGTCTACCAAACCACACGGTGTCACATCACAGAAGACCATAATCTTGATACCCACTCTTGTAAAAATCTGAAATCTCACTACTGAAAGATTCTTATGTAACACACTATACTTTCACCTGAGATTAACTGATAAATAATGAACTTTATGAAGTAATTTTGTCTTTCTTAATTTTATTATAACCCACATGATTGAGGGCCTGTTACAGGGATAGCTTTACCATTTTTTTTACAACATGGTTGAATTTAATTTCTTTTCACTGGTGAGCTGTGGACAGAAACAGCAAATAAGGTAGTTACTATAGGATTCTGACGATGGTGTATAACACACTGATATGTTGGGTTTTTGGACTTTATCCATCGTCGTGGTTTTTATTTGTTATCTTAAAAACCAGGATGATGGATAAAGTCCAAAAACCCAACATATCAGTGAGCAAATAAGGTATCTTGTGTTTCATCCAAAAATTCATGATGAAAATGGCGGTTGCAATGAATATTTGTTTTTGTTCCAGGAACGTACTACGCACAACGAAGTCAAGCCAGTTGGAGAGCACAGGTGAAGCTGCTACTAACAACACTTTCCTAGGAAAGAAAGAGAAGGACTTTGAGTTTGTGCACCTGCTTCCTATCAAAGTAGACTTTGCAGAATCCAGTGCATCAAATGTGGATCCTGAAAAACCTGTAGAGCTGGAAGCTTTGGAGAAATGGCTTATTCATATAGCTTGAATTATCATGAATTGTGCTGCAAAAATTATTTCAGTCTCAATATAACCATTCTTTTGTTTTTATATATTGTATTTGTAAATTGCAATTTTGATAGTTAACACTTGCGTATGATTATTGTTGTGGAAACTTTTGCAGATTTGGTTATAAATGAAATGATATATGAAATTTTTGGCTTTTGTTAAACGTTCCTTCCATATACGAGTACATATTTTTGTTGTGTTGTTTAAAATGAAGATTTTTTCCTGAACAAAAGAAAAAGGAGTGAAAGAAAGGATGGTTAAGACTCAGGTAGGCTGAGAGACTGTTTGCAGTGTTTATTACTATTGGGTATCACACACTAGGACGATCTCCACATCCGCATGAGAATGTACTCTCGACAGGATTTATGGAAGGTGAATAAATGAAATGAAATTAAATGAAATTAACCATCATCACTGCTATTAAAAAGAAGGGATGCATGCAAGATTTCTTCCTGAATCAATTTTCACATTTGTGTACAGTCATCAAGAATTTAATTTAGGCTTTCAGTGACATGAGAATTTTATTTATCCTCATGAATAAGAAGTAAGGTCCATCAGATGTAACAAGGTTAATAAGGGAATATAAAATTTTACCTTTACATGTTTCAACCACTACTGGGCAGGTTCAGAAGATGTAACTAACACTCTAAAGAAATGCCTTACACATAAGTTGTCTGAAAGGGATTTTGAAACTTAAATATTGTATATGTTAAAAGTAATTAGTTAACATCAGTTAAAATAAATTAAAGGTACTGTAAAGTAGAGGAACATAATTGTGTTTTTTTTTATACTTTTGGTTATGTAGAATGTTTATACATTGTTGTGTTGTTGTTTGTATGTATGTCTGAAAACATAATATAGGACCTTTTTGGTTCTCAATTTTTCTTTTACTTGACACATTAATAAGGGTAATTCCTCATTTTCCCATATCTGTGTGGTGTCATTGTGTGTAAGCTGGTTAAGTACATTGTAACATGAGGGATGTGCCACAGTGAACTGAAAGTATGTGATATTGTGGATTTATAAGTTGAGTGGTCTTGCCGTTGTAATGCTCTGTAGTCAGTTGAAGAAAAATGTAGTGTGGCATGTAGAGCCATTGCTATGCAGTAACTGCAAGATGGGCTGATGTACCAGGGTTGTTTCTGGGCAATGTTCCTGCAGCAACAGACACGAATGCAACAGTAGAACCGTGTTTTCCATGTGGTCTGTGCTGAGATGCTATAAGCAAGGGACAAGGTTAGAGCTTAGTTGATAGTCAGTAGTCAGTTGTCTTTGGGAGTCTGTGAAGAGAGGACTTGTGCCTGGAGTCAGAGAAATAGCCATTGTTGGAGCAATTACAAGGAAATGTCTAGTACTAGAGTGAGAACACTAGATTATGCACTGTAGTGAGCTGTAAAGTGTGGAAATAGCAATACTTTTACAGTTATTTGTATTTACGACCTGTAAGTGGTCAGTAAATCTAGTCACAAAGCCAAACCCCGTCTGTGGTCACACACACATATACTACATGACAGTGCAGTAAGTATTTGTGCCAAAGTTCGCTTTTTATAAGAAAGCTTTCTTGGAAAAAGTTCATCTGAAGAGGAGGGGCATATTGTTATCTACCAAGATGAGTATCTGAGTAGAAATATAGCTGTATTTTCCAAAATTTTTTAAGTCACCAAGGTTAGGTATTTTCTGTGAATTTTGTTTTTAGTAATTCTCTGTAACAAGTGCATGTGAATGCATCAGAGAAACCACAGGTAGGGGATGGTACTGAACACAGTGCAAAGATGCATCAGATTGGGGATACAGGTGTAATTCTGACAGTTGCATTGGATTCAAATTTCATTGGCACAGGAGGACAATATGAGATTGAACATTGTGACAAGAAGGCTATATATATGTTCCCATGAAGAAACCCAGAGACTTAAAATTGTACAACAGAAGTACAGGTGCAGTAGATCTTCTAGATCAGTTACCAAGCCTACACAGAATCTTAAGATTCAAAAAATGGACATTGCTCCAACTAACTCATTCAGTGATCTAAGCTTGGTCAAAAGTTATGGGCTGGAAACTGGTAGTGTTCTTGATGATAATGTTTGGGATGTGCAGCACTTCAGAATGAAAGTTGCTAAACCTCTATTACATTCTGGAAGGAAAATCAGAACAGACAGGGAGGGGGGGGGGGGACCAAATGAGGAAAGTGAAGTTGCCACCACTGTGTGTGAGAAATCAAGTATGACTTTGTGGACCACATGGCAAGACAATGAGAAAACTCGATCCTAGCATTGCAGAAGACAAAATTGTGCAGGAAGATCACATATTTTTGTTATAACAGTAAGACCCTGCATCTAAAACAGATTTTATAATATTCTATTGTAGCATCCAGTTGTACTGTTTATTCCAATTCCAGGAATCCCCAAAGTGTGAATTTTAATAATTTTAATGTATGGAAAAGGTTGCACAAGAACAGTGACATGAGAGTGCTAAAATTGGAACAAATTTTGTAGTTTTTTTGCTGCAAGTGAGATATGTTTCATTAATTATGATTGTTCAATGTATTCAACTAGGAAATAGATATAATTCATAACATGCCATAGCAAATTTTAGTTTGATGCAAATGTAAGATATCAATTTAGACAGAAGCTCTTGATATTATGTCTGTCTTTGTGTGAAAATACATGCTGAGTATTGTAAGATTTGGCCAGTCACGATAGCCGAGCGGTCTAAGGCATGTACTATCTTCGCTCGCTTGGAAACTGGGGATCGAGGGTTCGAATCCCACTTGGCGAATGGATGTATAGTTTGTGTGTGTGCGTTTTTCTGTGTTTATGTACAGGTAGAAGCCTTGCGACGAGCTGATCACCCGCCCAAGGAGTCCTACTGAATGTGTAAAATCTAGAAAAACAGAGGTGAACGGAGAAGTTCATGGAGGTAGGCCTAGGCCCACTGGGGCTCTAGTGCCAAGGAAAAAAAAAATGTAAGGTTTGACACAGTTGCTAAGATAATGAAGACTTAATGGACTAGCAGTCATGTCACTTCGTTTAAAAGGGCTGATGTTACAGGGATTATCTTTGCGCCCATTATCAAAACCATCCGATCCTGATGATGGGGACAGAGATGGCCCCAATAATGTTTGTCATTTTTAATCCACTAACATGGCTGGCAGGCTGAGATTTCATATAATGTGTACTTAAGCATTTACCCGTCTAAGTAACGCTTGAGAGCTGCAAAAAATATACAAACCAGTTTATTTATGTTTTATTACAACCCTAAATAGAAAGTAAGTATGGAAAATAATGATGATCACAGTGGCTGCACGGTCTGAGGCATGAACCATCTTTGAGCACTCAAACACTAGGATTGTGGGTTTGAATCACATTTGAGGCACAGATGTTTCTGTGCATTTATTCTGTGTTTGTGTTGCTCTGTGTATAGGCAGTGGCCTTGATATATGCTGATCCCCCATCCAAGGAGCCCCACCGATTGTGTATAGATTAAAAAAATGAAAAAAGCGGCCAAGGTCCGAAGGGCTGTCGCAAGGATCTGTTGTGTAACCGTGCCTCCACTGATGACCGCTAGCTGGTG